GGGGGGGGTGCGATAGATGAAGCTTTTGTCCTTGGGTACTCATGTCCCAGGAGAAATTTGATAGTCAGCCTGTCTCCGAGGCCATTGGGAGTCAGATTAGATAAGCTTGATTTTGTTTTTCTTCAGGCAGACAGATTTTTTTCTTCAGCCTTGAGTCCATCTGGGCGTTCTGGTTCCGAAAAAGCCTAATTGTGGAATTAAGTTTCACTGATCCATGCTATGAGTCTCCTTCAAGGTTGAACCCACCACGCTGACGAGTCCCAGAAGCTGCAGGTGGTCTGCGATTCTCAATCGCCTCCACCTTACGGTTAAGCTCGTAGACCAGACGATTTAAAGTTCCCACAGCGAGGACCAGACCTTCACACTGACTCGGAAGCTTTTCCATGGCCGAAACTGCTCCCGATGTCTTCTTCAAAAGTCGATAAAACAGAGCCCCGCCGATGCCAAGAAGCAGAGTCCCTGCTATCATAAGTCAAAATATGTAAACGTCTTCAACGTCTTCTTGAGACAGAACAGAGAGGCACATCATCTTCCACACTCCCCACGAATCCACGACGTACCCCACAGCGTGAGTCTCAGCTGGACATGTCGGTTCCCCAGGACCTTGTCGCTTTGATGAAAAAAATCTTATCAATAGAGTTGAACGCCCACGATACCAAATCCATAATCTTCTTAATTTATGTTCGGGAGATGAGACCCAGGCGCTTCAGACGGACAGAGAGCAGAGCAGGAAGAAGGAAAAAAAACGGGGGAGGAGAAACAGAAGCTGCCACCTCGATCAGAGCCTGGGAGGAAAAGCCTGTTTTAGCGCGTTTAGAGTTTATAAATGTTTAGAATATTGCAAGAGTATGGGAAGGGTTTAAAACACCTATATATATATATATATATATATATATATATACATATACATATACACACACACACACACATAACTGCTACTTACTACTTGTAGTACTGTTCCTACTTCACGGTTTTTCACTTATCGCGGGTCTTCATGGTACGGATCCCCCGTGATAAACGAGGGACTACTGTATTTGAAACCAAAGTTGTTTTAGGACGGTCCACTAACCATCTAAACTGAGTTTGTTGAAAGAGCTATCTTCAACAAATAAGACAATTGCTCACAATATTTCTACACAACCCACCTTCAAAAGATCTGAACTATCTCTTTAAGTATAGGCAGACCTGTAGTGGTGTACTTTCTGAGCCTCTATCTGTAGACCCTTTTTAGCAGGGCTTTGCTTAAACGTGACCACTAAACTTGAGGAGTTTGGAAGCTAAAAAGATTTGAAAGGTAAAGTTTTGTTTTCTTCTTAGGTGTCGTATCTAACATGGGGAGTCCTTCAGGAGAGAGTGATGACTCGTTCCTATGGAGCGGCGACTCCAGAGGGTGAGGGTGAGGGTGAGCGATTCAAGGATTCTCAGTTTCTGGTCTTCATGAACCGCATCCTTGCTCTGACCGTGTCAGGGATTTGTTGCATGGTGTTCAAATATCCTCGCCACGGCGCGCCCATGTACAAATACTCCTTCGCTTCGCTCTCCAACATCCTGAGCAGCTGGTGCCAGTACGAGGCCCTCAAGTACATCAGCTTCCCCACTCAGGTCCTGGCCAAGGCCTCCAAAGTCATTCCTGTTATGCTCATGGGAAAGCTCGTGTCCCGTAAAAGTTACGAATACTGGGAGTACTTCACCGCCGTGCTCATCTCCATTGGCGTCAGCATGTTTCTGCTGTCCAGCACGACCAGCAAGCACCCATCCACCGTCACCACCTTCAGTGGGATCATCATTCTCGCCGGCTACATCGTTTTCGACAGCTTCACCTCCAACTGGCAGGACAATCTGTTCAAGTACAAGATGTCGTCTGTTCAGATGATGTTCGGGGTCAACTTGTTCTCCTGCCTCTTCACGGTCGGCTCGCTGCTCGAGCAGGGGGCCTTCTTTGACTCGCTGGCCTTCATGACGCGTCACTCGGAGTTCGCCTTTCACGCCGTGCTGCTGTCGGTGTGCTCGGCGTGCGGTCAGCTCTTCATCTTCTACACCATCAGCCAGTTCGGCGCTGCCGTCTTCACCATCATCATGACGCTGCGGCAGGCCATCGCCATTCTTCTCTCTTGTTTCCTTTACGGTCACCCCATCACCATAGTTGGTGGTTTCGGCATCGCTGTGGTTTTCTTGGCACTTTTCCTGCGAGTGTATGCGCGCAGTCGCAAGAAGCCAAGCCGTCAGGCTGCAGTAATGCATATACAGAAGGTGTAACCCTCCAGAAGTCGCACCAAACTGGGAAATAAAACCACGTTTTTGTGGTTCTGTTTGACTTTTTGTTTACTGGTATATTTTTCCTGTTCTTTTACATTTATTATTTTATTTCTTGGCATCGGTACGGAAAGGGAAACCGCAGTTTGGACTCAGCTCAAGATGCCCCCAAGGGGTCCAGGTGAAATTTAAGGTCACAGAAGTTTTGAGTGCCTGTAAGATTCTTATAACTGCAAACTGCCTCTTACACTTTCAGTTTAACAGGGTTTTTTGTTGTTTTCTTTACCACCACACGTGGCTTGTGCATACAGTTTAAAGTTACTGAATCGCTAAGCATTCATATTTTTTTAAGCATTAACAATATTTTCCCATGATGAAAAAAATCAAAGGTTCGAGAAAGACACTATTTCTGTAAGGTTGCAAAACCGTCATGAGAATCCTCCATCGGAGGACAGGGAGTTCTGTAATGTGAATTTTTATTGTTTTGAGGACGCTGTCACGGTTTGTCCTCACACTTTTATGTATTTTCATATGTTTAATTTTGTCAGCAGCTGAAATCGACACCATTTTTGTCAACGTATTGAACAAATTGTACATTTCTATCGGACTTCGCAGCACCAGTGAATTCTGTTTGCACTTTTATTTGACAGAGTTTCACAGATTTCATACTTTGTTTTAAAATTTAGTCCAAAGTATGTAAATATATCTTGCCATTTATTTCCAACCAATTGCTGCAGACTGCTTTGCATCTTTTTTTTTTCATGTGAATGTTTGGAATAACACTGAAGGGATTGTGTTAATGCCTCAACGCTGTCAGAAAGATGCAGGATACTGTAAGCCCAGGGGGCAGTTTGCAGAACGAAATGCACAAACGAAAAATGCAATGTTACTGGTACTTTATTACCATTCTTCTACTTTCTCTGGTAAATGGATTAATAATAAAATGCATAAATTAACAAAACACATTCTCGAGAAGTTGGTTTTACTCTTTCAGTTTTATAGTTTCATTTATATTAAACATGATATAATTTAAAGGCCTAACATTCCTTGAAGGAATATCTTCCACCTCCATTAATGCCAGAGTTTTAGACTAAGATCATCCAAATAACATCATTATAACCATTTTGGTCAAACCTTGATGCTCATTCTCATAAAATATTGCAACATCTTGAGACGTGGTAGCGCTCAGAATATGTTTTGCGAGTGACTCTGTTAATAACGCATCAAATTTGACCTTAAAACCTGTCAAATCACCTGGGGTAGACATTTTTCTGTTGCTTAACATTGGTTAGCTATGGTAGCCATCTTGAATTGAGATGACTCCAATGTTTCAATTCGGTTTATATAGCTCTGCCAAGTCACAACAGAAGTCGTCTCGGGGCACTGAACAGAAACATTCATAATAATAAAAATAACATTATCTGAGGAGTAGACTGCTTTGAGTTTAACTCCATCGCAGATTCTCATCTTGAGCAAGCATGAAGGCGACAGTGGAAAGGAAAAACTCCCTCATGAGGAAGAAACCTTTAGCAGAACCAGGCTCGGGACAAGCGGCCATCTGCTTCAACCGGCTGGGTTTGAGAGGACGGGAAGGAGGAACAGATACACAATGGCAGGTCAAGTATCACATGTTAAGACAGAAATAGTATCAAATGAAAACTTCAATTTTAACAATTCATCTAAGGAAATGAGGTCAGTTTGTCCTCCATTAATCTAAGCCTATGGCAGCATAACAAGCCAACCTTAACTATAGGATTTATCAAAAAGGAAAGTCTTAAGCCCAGTCTTAAAACTGGACAATGTGTCAGTCTCACGGACAGAATATGGAAGTTGGTTCCACAAGAGAGGAGCCTGTTAACTGAAATATCTTCCACCTGTTCTGCTTTTGCAAACTAGGAGCCACAAACAAGCCTGAGTCTGAGTTTTAGTGTTTTTCTGCATCATTTTTAGATGAGATGTTTCTAATTTTAGTGATATTACTCAGGTGGAAGAAGACGGTTCTAGTTAAATTTTTTAATGTGGAGATAAATGTCCTGATAAAAATAACACCAAGATGTTTAACATAAGAGCTGGAGGCCAGATTAATGTCATCTAAGGAGGGCGAAAGACTGAAAAATGTGTTCCTAAGATGCTCATGTCCAAAAACCAAAACCTGTCTTTGTCTGTGTTCAAAAACAGAAAATTTAGGGTCATGCAGGTTTTTGTCTTTAAGACATGCTTGTAGTCTAATTAACTGATTGGATTCATTGGATTTCATGGACAAATATAACTGTGTCATCAGCATAACAATGAAAATTTATCACATGCTGTTTAATAACTTTACCTAATGGAAGCATATATAAGGTAAAGAGTATTTGTCCAAGCACTGAACTTTGAGGAACTCCATGACTAACTTTGGTGTGTGATAAAGATTCAGTTTTTACATTTACAAAGGAATCTTATCAGATAGATATGATTTAAACCAATTTAGAGCCATTCCTGTAATCCCATTATCATATTCAAGTCTGTAGTAACATATTGTGATCATCTATCAAATGCAGCACTGAGGTCACCAAATTTTAGCTCAGGATGTGTAAAGACGGGTATACCTATTGGTATGTTAGCTAAGGTTGCTTTGCTGTGATAGCCATATTGAATTGGGTTGTGTCCAAAAGGTAAACAGTTGTAGAGTCCAGCCAGTATTATTTTATGTAAGTTTTATTAAAACCCAGCCACAGGTTCATGGGATATTTTGCTTACATGACCGACAAATGCACACGGGCCAAAGTACAATTGGTGCAAATCTTTGGTGGTGTGTAGCAACATTCACAATCACCACATCTCAACCAACATGTTGTGAAACCACCAAATACAGAAATACTTTTGGACAAAATGCAGTTCAGTTCTTTCAATGGAATTGAAGCTACTTTTAAAACCAGGACAAAGTGCAGTTGTTCTGGTACCACATGGTGACTCAGCGCTTTAAACCCTTCTGTATGTACAATCACTACTTTTTTTTGTTAAAATGACATTAAATTAGTCATTTAAATCTCTTTCCACACTGATGTTTGTTCTCGTTCCACCGCCTTTAGTCCCAAGCGAAGAAAACCAAAGTTGTTTTGGAAATTTGAAAGGCTCTTTACGCCCTTGACTGATTCATTGACCCGTTCACATTTATGATTCACTCAGCATCAAACTGAAGACTGGGTTTGACTGTGAAGAGTAAGAACTCCCCTCTGTTTATTAATCTCAAGCTGCGAGATGGGATTCCCCTGCTTCTGTTTTGTAGGTCCTAGTTTAAAGGGTGCGTCATCTTCTCCACAACTCGGGTCATCTGTTCGATTGTTCAAACAAATCGCTAAGAAAAGATTGAGAGGTTCAAAAATAAAACTACAGATTTGTGGCCCTCTGGGTTTTTTTTTTTGTTTTTTTTTCTCAATGGACCAGTCACTCTAAGCTCTCACTTACACTGCAGCCTTTGCTCCTTTATTAGCCGGAAGACGTATTTAGCTGTTTTGCCTCTTTCGGATCTTCCCAGAACCATCTGGTCTTTAAGCTTCCAACAGCAGCTGAGCAACAAGAAGAAATGAAAGATTTGCTGAAGCCTTGAGCTCAAACCATTCACATAAATGGCTCAGAGTAAATTTAAAAAAGCATTTTAAATAGATTTATTTTTTTCGGTATTGTACAACCCAAATTTGAAAAAATTGGGGTGTCGTATAAAATGTAAATACAAATAAAATGTAGAATGGTTTGCAAATATCATAATTTTGTATTTTATTCACAATGAGACACAATAAATGCCAAATGTTTAAAACAGTTGTATCATTTTTAGAAAGAAATAAGGTAATTTAGAATTTTATAACAGCAAAACGTTTTTGGAGGGTATTGGTGTCCAGGTCTTGTCTGATATAGGATTCTAGCTGTGCAACAGTCCGGGGTCTTCATTAGACGTGTCATTTCATGCTGCATCAAATGTTTTAGACTGGTGAGAGGTCTGGAGTACTGGCAGGCCAGTCACCTGGACTCTCTTTCAGCGACGCCATGTTGTAATGTATGTCGCATGTAGTTCAGCATTGTCTTGCTGAAATATGCAAGGCCTTCCCTGAAAAAGACATCTGGGTGGGACCACATGTTGTACTAAAACCTGTACATTTCTGTGTTGATGGTGCCTTTCCAGATATCTAAACTGCCCATGCCATAGGCACTAATGCACCCCTATACCATGCAGTGGTGGCTGGTCAATAGGGGGCGCTAGTGCGCTGCCCCATCACTCAAATTACCTTGAAGACAGAAAAAATTTAAATAAAAATGAAATGATAAAATAAAAATATTTCAAAATATATGTATATATTTTTTTGTTGTGTAAGATAAATATTTTAGAGTTAATGATGAGTAAAGTTGTTTCTTTCAAAATCGTTGTCTCTGATTGGTGACATATTTCTGCCCTGGGGGCGCTACCATCTTTGTCCATAGGCTCTCGTTAAAAGTTGTACATGCACAGTTAGCTCCTCTTCATTACAAGAGATAGGAAGATTCTGGGCACAACTCTCCTGCGCCCAGAATATGGGCGCGCGGTACGAATCGTGCTTCTGGTCCCGAAACAGATTTTATTTTATTTTTTTCCGGAACAGATTGTGCAGTGACACTCACAACCAGGCTAGCTGCTACAGGTAGGCTTTAAGCCATTGAAATCCCTTTATCTAATGCCTATGTTGCCATTACTGACTGATATGTCTTTCAACTTTTAGATGTCTCTGTGAAAAAAAAAAAAAACTTTAGCTGACTGTGTATTCTAAAAGTGGGAACTAGTGAGTTTGTTTGTTTCTGGAGCTAGCATGCTAGCACTAGCCTCCAGGTTATTGTACTGGGCTCTGTGCTAAATCAGTTCTATTGCTTCATTCATTTGAATGTGCTTATAGAAAAAATAAGTATAAAAAATTTATACATTTCTATACTAAATGGTATTACTATTTTTGAACACCTGCATTTGTATTGATCTGGATAACGAAAATAAGCCACAATATAAATAAAACGCATAGCATTGAGAAACGGGGAATAATCAATACAAATCTAATTAAAATCACTCTAACAGACGTTTCACATGCCAAGTTAAGGTCTCGTATCCAAGGTTAAAATCAGAAACGCTACCAGGTATTTAATCTTATCCAGGACTTTGTGCAGGTTGAGCTTGTTTAAATTCTCATCTATTAAGGTCATGGTGATCCTAAAAGCTTTTCCTTGGTAAATGATAATGTTTTGTCTCTCATTTAAATCTTTTTTTTTTTTCTGTTTGAGCTTTTTAGATCAAAGGTGAAATGTTTTCAGAGACCGTGGCAAACAAACAAAAGTCTCGTTCCCGTCGAAGCACGTTGGTTACTGAAACCGGTTGTGTAAAAACCGCTTGTTCTCTTTCTCGCAGAAGATCTGCAGCTTCTGTGTTTGTGTCTCGGTCCTGGTTCTGCTCGTTAAGAGGTTTTTTTCCTCTTCGCCGTCCGACGCTCAGTGATGCTGAGGATGATCAGAAGTAAAGATTCAATTTAAACTTATTTACAAATGAACTTTTCATGGAGACTAATTTACTCAACGCTGCTGTGTTAAATTGATCTTAGGCAACTGATTG